TTGGAGAAACTAAACTTTGTGTAAATAATGGTTAGCAGTTTTTTTTTTATTTTAGCAATAATAAAACTTAGCACTCTAGTTTACTATATTAATTAGTCTTTTTTTTATTAGTTATTTATCAAGCAGGCAATTTTTTACGTTATCACCAAGACAAAGCAATTAAGTTTGCATATATTTGTAGTGTTGTTGAAGTTAATAAGAGGCAATTACTCAGAGCTGATCTGCTTGTTCTATATAGTGGGCTTTCTAGACACTTGTATAGTATAAATAGAAAAGCACATGAAATGAATATGGAAGAACTTTGGCTTGTTGAAGGACAAGAGTGTTTGATTATACCTAAAAATATTACTCAAATTAATGTTTGGTTAAAGGATTTTGATAAACCAGTAAAATATGAATATTTTGTAACTGAAATATTATATAGTTTTAATAGTTGGTGGCATATTTGTAACCTTACTAAAAGGCACAGAGCTCCTTATGAATATATACCTATTTTACTATTACTACCACGACCAATGCCTATTAAAAAGATTTTTCTTGATATCTACTTTAATGATTTTGGAACATTTCGTAATTCATATCATTCATTAGAAGGGGTTTATTTAGTTATTGGAAATATGCCGCTTGATTTACGAAGCTACTCAAAAATCATTTTCTACTTGGCTTTGTTCCATTTGGAGATTTTATTAAACCAATTCTTGATAATATTTGCCAATTACAATCTAGAAAAATTATAAATACTTTGAAAAAAGAAATATGGCTTATTGGTAGATTTGGCTATATTATAGCCGATTTGCCCTAAGGTAATAACCTTGCTAGTATACTTAGATATAATGCAAATTATGGTTGCAGAACTTGTTCTGTATCTAGTAGCCAATTAACAAACTCCAACTTTGACTTTGTTGTGAATGCATGCTTTCACCATTTAACCAATATACAATATAATGAAATTGCATAGCAACAAACAAACTCTGCTCGTCGACAACTATCTAGTCAATATAGACTTAGTGCAAAGCCAGTTCTTGATACTCTTTATTGGGACAGATATTTACAATTACCACAAGATGCTTATCATGCACTTGCTGATAAAGCTACATATCTTCTAAATATAACTCTTAGATATTTAAATACTAATAGAGAAGTAGCTTGGCTTAAGTGTTGAAAAAGTATCAAAAAACTAGCAAGATGGTCACAGATACCAAATCTGCTAACCCATCGTTATAGTTTTACATTTTCAGATACTTTACATCTAGCAATATTAATGCCATTTATTCTACGTTACTTTTTATCACCTTCATATTTAAAGGCTGAAATAATTAAACATTTAAAAAATGTATATAAACTTACTCGTAATAATCATGCTATTATTAAACTAATAGAACTTTGGGTAGTTGAAGCAAAACTACTTAAGTTGGCTTTCTCAACAACAATGACAAATGACACTTATAAGGAGCTTCGCAGTTTGTTTGAAAAAGAACGAATTGGTTTTTTGAAGATTTTTCTAAACATATTTGAAAACTTACCTAATGTTCATATAAATATCCATTTGCTACAACATGCTCGTACATTTGCAACTCTTGTGAACACATCTGTTGAAGTCAAAGAAATGGTACACAGAACATACAAAAATATAGTACCATATACTAATTACAAAATATTGAACTAAATCTTCTTTGGCAATATAATACCTCATTTGCATTAACTCACTTATTTGATGGTAGCAAAGATTACCATTTTCTAACAACTATAAATAAATTATCAAATATTTCTCTAGACATTTTATTATATTCAAGTCTTTGCAAACAATATACTACAGAGCAAAACTTAAAAATTAATAACAATGATGATATTAAAGAAATTGAAATTATTTCAAATTTGATACTAAAAAATTTTATAGATATAGTATTATAAAATAAATAGCCAAAAACAAGAGCAAGCATTGAAGGATGGTCGACAAAGCTAAGTAGTCAGCATCCTCTTTTTCATAATTTACATATATCATATTCAGAATATTTTAATTTACAAAGTGCTTTTCTTAATAATAAATTAGAATTTTTTGATTAT